CCATATTAACACACGTGACAAATATAAACCTAATTCCTGTATAGTCTATCACCAGCATTATGTTAAATTGTATCCATTGGTGCTATCTACGAGGGTTATATGGTTCCTTCCATAGTGTGACTGAATATTGTATATAATGTTCTTGTACTATATTACACATCCTAAGTTTAAATTTTGATTGGTCGAATAAACCGCTAAAACCTCGATTACCTGATTAAACTTCTCGATCAACAAGAATGCCATTGCCAAAACTGGTAATGACCTGTAGTTACCTAAAGAGATAACTAAACTTATAATGAGTGTCAAAGCGATGTCCAAAAACTTAGTTTGAAAAATATCACTGACCAGTATACTAATGTAGACATTGAAATATCAGTAAACTTGCTTAAGATCTGTAAGTCCAAAAGTGTTGTTTATAAACTACCTAAACGTTTGAAATCATTGCACCCTCATCTTATATTATTGTTCTATTCCCAATGCGGAGCTCCTTATGACGGCAATCTCCCGTTGTGTCATCAATACGCATGGTTGTGTAACATATGTCCGTACGTAGAAGATGAGCATACGAAATGTTAAGAATCTTGTATTTCATCATCGACCATTGCATCAACTGGTGGTTGCAGGTTCTGCGGTATATGCCAGACACCAGGCGGTTACAGCAGGTTACATGCCGATGCCGGTCAACCACTCGTCCGTTCTCGTCTCTCAGCCGAATCTCCGCTTCCATTCCGATACTTTCTTCCCCATCCCGTCTGCTTGACCCGGGTATTGTTCTGGAGGATAAGGAAGTCGGTTCGACTTTCGGTATTTGCGGTCTGATTCGCCGCTGAAAGGATTTGCAAAGATTTTTATTATGACAGGATTTGGTTCTACCCACAATAGTGTTGATGTGTGCACTGGGAACTAAAGCCCGGTCCAAATGCTCACATTTGTTTGTGAAATTGTGTGTGTAAACCTGAGGTGTGCACCCCGAAGCCGTCCACACGCTCAGTTCTGGCCTTCAACATCTCCAGACTCACATCTGTCAACTCTCATTTCGTTAAGCCGAGATGGAGGAAGTTTTGCTCTGGCCAATGTTTGCTATTTTAATCGGTAAATACCCCCGCCGCAGCAAATCTGCAGACTGAGCGAATTTCCATTCCTGATTGGATTTACACTTAAATGTCTCCTTCAAAATATCACATTTATTCCATTTTTAAATAGCATTAGATTAACAAGTACTTAGGTTTGCTGCAACAGGGAGGGTAAAAGTGTGTTGTTTTTTTTTTGAATGTCAATAGTTTGTTTAATAAGAAATAAATTTATTTTCCAAATTTGATCAAAATATGTTCATAAACAAGTAAAATACAACAGTTTACTTATTCTCCATATGAATAAATATATATATATGAAATTGAACAGATGGTGTTTCTGGCCTCTGGGGACCTCAAAACGAAAAAGTAAATCGGTCCCGGGTCCAGGTCTTACCATGAGTACTACGGTAATAGTTTATTCCCTATATGGGAAATTCGCTAAAAAGCACAGTGCTCAATTGAAAAGAAAACAAGCAATAGACTTCAAGTTGGTCATCATGGAATTTATTTCTTTAAGATCCCCAACTTTGGAAATAGAACTGAAAACCTCCAAAATTAGTACAGCTTTGAGATAAAATTTTCTGATCTGATTCTGAAATTGATGATCTTTCTGATTCTCCTCTGGGGGTTACTTTGTGAGATTTTTTTGGGCAGAGGTCTACGATGTTGACAAATACTAAAGAGGGGCACACCTCTTCCCAAAAATGTAAAAGAAACTGTTGCTGATCTGTTTAAATTAAGATTATTTATGTTAGTCATATGTCAGTGTGGGTTTCAACAGTTACGACATTGCAAAACACTTCATCTTTACAGTGAAACAACCATACTATTTAATTATTAGGACTTCTAACATTTAGAGATCAGCCAAATTATTTACACATCGATTTGCACTTTGGAACAGTTTACCACTAAAAGGCCGACCAACATTTTGAAAATAAATCAATTATTTGGATAGTTTATTTTTTTCTAGCATTAGTGTAGAACGACTCGTTTGACGTTGCTTTGCCTTGCACATCGAGGCAATACCATCGTTTTTATTTCCCCTAGTTCGGTTTCTAAAGATGACATAGTTCTAGGAGTTCTCTTAAGTAACCTCTAGAGGATCGAATACAATAGCATTCAAACTCCAAGATGCATCGGTGTAATGAACATATTTAGAGATAATACCGCTTCTGTGATCGTTTACATCGACGTCCTAGTTATGTTTGGAAAACAACTTAAGTATTAAACTGAAGCCCCAACACGAATGCAGGGAATTGAGAATTCAATGTTGTAGTTTCATACGAGTAACTTAAGACATTCTTTATTACTGTATCATAACAGAAATAGTATGTAAATATTTTGCAGTTTGGTTTTGATGAGCTCGAAGAAGGGCGCACTAAAGTTCTAACTTCACTTTTGAGGTACTGGTACCTAGTTTCTTTAAATATTACAATTAATGTAAAGCTTTTCTGTGATATTTGATTAATTTCAAATACTTCAGATATTCCCCAGAGAATGCTTCAACGAATGATGTTTTACATCTGCACAATCATGTTTCTAATCACTGTGTGTAGATAAATACACATCTTGTCATCATTTTCCATTTGAGTTCAATATAACGTTTTCATACATAGAGAAAATGGTTTGGTGTACCCTAGGATAAAAGTGTTAGTACTGCAACAACAAAACGAGTTAATGTGTAAGAAGTGATGAAATGGTCGATGCATCTTATATTTTACTATTAACAGTTTAAAGAAATGTTTAGAATGGATAAGAGATTGTAGGGGCTAAGTCTACTAGTCAAGATCTAAAGATTATTATCATAGTAGACAAGACTATTTATTGTTTATCCAGTGTGAATGCTTACTCGGACAAAGATAGTTTAAGCGAGTACGCATAGCAACTGGTTTTTTACATTTATTTTAAACATATTTTTCCTGTACGGGTTGGAATTAATTCAATTGATTTCTAACTTTTCAAATCCAAGTTGGGTTTTCTAGTAATCAAGAAAATATTGAAATCAAATTCATAAATACTGCATACGGTTGATTCAATTCTTACGAAGAACTGTCTTTCTTCATCACTTTTCTCGTATTGTATTTATTCGTTTCGGATATTAAAAACTGCTTATGAAACTGATTGATCATAGAATTAAAACCTAAGTAGGCCTAAAATATTATACTTATCGTAACACAATTTAGTACATGCATAAGGAAAAACAATGACGGAATGAATTTTTATGCAGCCTAAGGATAAACCTAATACAGTAGGCTAGTTATTTATGACAGCCAGCTGGTAATTTAACTTTCACGATTATATAACTTGGGTTTATCCGCCTATACTTCCTATTGCGTGGTTCCAATTAACATCCCTGTTAATTGCTTCTCGTGCAATGGGAATGTGTGAAGAGTTACCTCAACTATAGCCATTGATGTCTTTGGCACATGGACACAATCGAAAACATCTTCTGACAACGAAGCATTCAGTCTCGTCTTACATTAAAGTCTCTCGTACGGATGGCAGTTAATTTAACACACCTAACATGATCTAGCCTATTTGAACATTATAAACTATGATTTTGTTTTTGATCTATTTAAGAAACTAACAAAGATCATAAAAAATATTAATAACGACGTATTAAAAATATACATCTAATATTGAGTACACAATTGATTTGTTCAAACAAAGCGTAAATACCAGTGCAGAACTAATTTGATATTCTAATACGATTTTCATCATGACAAGACAGTACATATCTGAGCAACTGTGTCACTTATGACGTAATCTCAACATAGATTACGTTTCCGTACCCCTTCCATTTTAACAAGAAGGGACCGTTTTGACAAGGGAATCTTTCTTCCATGAGATTCAGGTATTACAAGATAAGTTTCCGTTCTGTAATGTATTTACACAGACTTTTTAATTGCTGGGTTTGATAGAATACAAAAAATATTGCTTTCCTAATTATAAATAGTCAGTAGAACATGTGGTTTTCTCAGTAAGGACTATATAAAACAAAATAATTTCCCATTAAAGAAAGTATTTCGTAATCTAAGATGAAATGTTGACCCTGTTACCGTGAATATGCAGCAGATGGTACATGACCTGTTATTATGTTGTTAGACGAATGTTCATGATATGCCAAATCTGTTCGGAAATATGGCCTCAATATCACTCTCACTAATTCAAATCTCTTAGCTGCCATAAGAAATAAAACACAAACTAGTGTTTTGAAATATCATATAATTCTTTAGTTCATAAATAATGGTTTGCGAGGTTTTGATTGATATCTGATTGTTCCGGTTCTACTAAAGGTCATGCACACCAGCTGTTTGACACCGTGTATTTCCAACTGTTTAGTGATTCAAATGCTATAAATGCCCTTTAAGTACTGTAGCCTAGTTTAGATCACTTAATACCCTTCCCAACTTGGTGACTCAATAATATTAGGCTTCATGATTTAGTCCTAACGAATTCTTATAGGTTTTAAAGCTGTATGCTATATAATAACTCATAAAATCACAGCATCAATAGTAATAGAAACACATAACTTAACAATTCCAGTACCGCCAGTACTCCTATTTCAACACACACTGTATCTTCCACAACTTATTGGTATATAGCAAGGTTCGCCGAATGTCCAGTTTTTAATACGGACGTCCTGCAGATTTCCTATAAAGCTCAAATAGCACTGCACAAGAGAAGTATGCGTAGTAATCGCAGAAAACATACTACTTAATGGACAACAAAAATCCATGACCAAAATATTGACTTATACTTTTATTATACAGTACCGGTACTGTGATATCATAAAAAGTGAACCGTCGCCCCTTAATTCTAAAATTTGCTCATTATTTTGATTGAAAACTGAAATCTGAGTGATTTTTGCAGACTAGACATGTCGCAATAGATCCTAGATACACTAGTTGCTAATGAGGCACTCACCTATCTACGGCCGCTGGAGGGTCGATGACGAGCCTGTTGGTAGACAGCAGCCGGGACTTCAGATCTCTCCAGCTCATCTCCTGAGAGGTCCAGGTCCTGCATCATCTGCATGATCTCACGTTCCTTCTTCACTTCCTCCTTGTCTATGGATCCTCCGTAGTAGTGCGAATCAGAAGATGGCCCTCCACCGTTGGGTACCACTGGAGGAGGTGCAAACTTCAGGTTTGCTAGTGATCCGTACGATCTCGATCTGTGTTCCTGTCTTATAGAATACGAGAAGGCCCTTTCGTTAAGGTGACCTTTCCTTCGGTAGATTCCGGTGTTAAAAGGGGATTCATTCTCATCATCGTCCTCTTGATCGCCATCTTTTTTCTTGTCGCCCTTGGATCCTTTGCTCTTCCTGCGATACATCGCCGTGTTGAAAGGAGATTCATCCTCATCGTCCGGACGATGGTCACCATTTTGGCTTGTGGAATTTTTCTTGCTACGCTTGCTTTCTTTTACATTTCGTCTATATATTTCTGCGTCAAACGGGCTTTCAGGATCGTCATCGTCATCCATGCGTTGGCCGTTCACCAATATTGGAATTGACTTTTTGTTTTTGCTGTCTTTTACCTTCTTTTTCGATTTTACGTCCATCGTAGCATATTGCTGCATCAAGTAGGCTTCGTGAGGAAAATGTCCCGGCTGGTAGGACGCTACGGGACTCAGCGGTCGCGTCGACGGCATGTATATAGGCTCTTCCATGGCGACTGGCCAATGTTTTGACATCTTCCTTCCTGATTGCATGTAAACCGGATGAGGAGGCATGGGAACGAAGTTAGGGGGAAGCATATGAGGCCGAGGAGGCATCATCATACCCCGAGATTTATTTGGACGATGCGAAAACGTGCCGGCAACCATTCGTCGTGGATGAGGTAACGTGGTGGGCACCATCAAAACCGGTGGTGGAGGGGGAGGAGGAGGGTATCCGTTCATAACTTGAGATGAGACCGGCCTCAAAATCGTCCCATTAGAGTAGACGTGGTTCGGATAACCCATTGTGCCTCCTTTCATCATAGTTCCACTCATCGAGCTTTGTGATCGCATGCCGGGTTGAGGTCGCATGAGTGACCCGTTCATTACACACATTTCTTCTTTGCTACCGGTTTTTTTCTTTCTCCTGTCTTTGTCTTTGCCACTTTTCTTCCCTTTTTCTTCTTTGAGTGGAGGAGGAGGTGGTGGAGGAGCGTTTATTATTTGTCTTGGCCTCATAGATCTTGTGCTTCGCATTGTACTTCCGCCGTATTCTCCGTAGTTTCCCTCACGATCGGAGGTCGATATATCCCTTGTACTTCCTGCCCAGATCTTATGGTTTTCGTCTCCGTTGTAGATGGAGATGTCATCAACGGAGTTAGAGTTGTCTGGGTTGGATCCTAGAGTGTCGTTGCCATTCTGATGCTGCATTGCGCTGTTCAGTGTAAGAATACTGCCGCTAGTCGTTGGCTGCGAAGCCATACGGCGCCATCCTTCCACCTTCTCTATACTATTAGAGTTTACTATCGGTTGATTGTAGTTTCTGAGGGTTCCGTACACACTTCCAGCATTTCCACCCGAATCTATATGCCTAGCATAAGACGAATCCGCATATGCGTGAAAACAACAACGTACTAGAGCGTTAGCTGCTGTCTCCCTCTTACAAATAAAAGTGTGGCATTCTAGCACTTTGATTCCGGTCGTCCTCCGCAAAATAGCCGCGAAGAGAGGAGGGTGATGCGGATTCGGGGAACGAGCGAAAGGCGAGTCTAGGGGAAGGAATCTAGGCTGGGTCGAAGACGATACCGAATTCTTTTCCGGGACGAGTACGTAACGAACAGCCGCGCAATAGTGAAGGGTATCGATAGGAAAAAATCGTGTAACTTTCTTGTGGTTTTCGTCAACATTTTCCAACAGAAGACCGTTGCTCCAAACGCTGAGCCAAGAATCTATTCCTCTAGCTCCGAGAGCTCCTTGCTCGGGATAAAGTTCACGCAAAGGCTCTTGAATCCCTTGAAGGCCGTCTTTCGTGACGTGAGGGACAGCGGATCCAAGATAGAGGACCCGGCACCGACAGATCGGTGTCGAATCGTTTTTGTTAGCAAACATGGCTCAATAGTAAAGTGAAGTTAGACGAAAGAGAAATAATTTCAGGATGTAAACATGACGGAAGGATCTAGATATCACACAAGGAATCTGTGGCACATAAACTCCATCTAAAGTCGCATCACTACATCGAAACACTACAGCACACTAACAAACCTCAAACTTCGTCTGCGTCATATTTGGCGCGACCTCGTCAACTAGAGTTTCCTGATGCGGAAAACACGCGGAGTTCCAAGAAAGAACAATCACACTTCGAATACTCCCAATCACCTGGCACTACACAAGTATCCAAACTATAAAGTTGGCGAATGATTCGGGGAAACACTATCACTACGAACTGCCGCGAACACAACTACACGGCAACGTCTCGCGAACTGACTTGACCTCTGGTATCTCCGCCACTCCGTCGTTGCTGCTGCCTGTTGCCCCTCCCCTCACCCTCTCTCACCACACCACACTCTCCCCTCCACGCCACATCACTACCTCACCTCCAGCTCACCTAGACAACATACATTCCTCCACCGGTACAGAATAAACTACACGTAGGTCTCCACCTCAACATTTACACCACTTCTTGTGTACGAGCACTGCTGAAAAAAAACCTTTTGGGAGAGTGAATGCAAAATACACCAGGTTACTGATTAGAGTTAATCTCTTTTCACCATAAATCTGAAAAAGAAAAAAAACTTGGAATTAATCTGTTTGCGCAAAATTCAGTAACCTAAATCCGGTAAATGATGAACCGATCCGGTGGTTTGTCTGCACGATCGTTAACAGAGAAAAGTTATATGTGAATTGATAACAACTACTGTACTAATGCATAGTTATCATGACCATCTATTTAATAGCAAACGAATAGATTATTGTACGTTTTAACTTTCTACGTCCTTTTGAAGTTATTTTATGTATAGTATTAATTAATATACGGAATGAGACCAAACTTCGTTAAACCTTCAAATAAAGTTGTAAAAATCTCTATTTTTGTCCTAAGCACACCATACGTTCGACCTATTTAAAAGGCGTACTATGAGAACTGAGCATCAATATTAAACAAAATTTAAAACCTTCAACACAAATTAAAAAGCGTGTAGAAGTAGAACTTGAGTGGACGATAGGTCCTGGACAGTGACTGCGACAGGAGACAGGACCAAGATGAAGAGGGAGCAGAGCAGACGTCCTTGTCGTTCACAGGTGGGCGGCAAAAAATTCAACAAAGGCGCCAATGCCCACATTCCAAAACTTCATCCACATTTGGCGGTTCGGAAATCACAAAAGCCTAAGGGAAACCAACGAGCACCCTCGTCGTTCTGAACGTCTAAAAATGAAAAAGAGACATGTACAAAAATATCCGTAGGTTCTACAGTGGCAGGTTCTAGGAATTCGATGAATAGTTTCATCGAAAAATGCCTTCAGATTCATAAAAAATATCGGTTAATTTATATTCAAATAATATTCATCGTCTAATCATAAAACAAAGTCGTATGGTACTTAAATATGCCATCCAGTAAATAGTTGATTCGCTAAATTGTGAATGAAATTAATTTTGGTTTGTTGTTTTGGTTTGGTTGTTGTTTCCTGAAGATGGAAAATTGTGTGGACAAATTTGACAAAGGGGTTAAGATAAGAGTCTTCTTATGTCACGCTGTTGTTACAGTGTTGAAGACTATGCCTGCAGTGACTATACAATGATCTTTAGTTTTTTAGATTTGATCTATAAGAACATATTGTTTTGATTTGTTTTAAGAGAAATTTTTGTCAACGCTATTATGCAGTTTGTAACAAACTGTAAGAAATAAAGATGTTTGAGTTCACGATTTCATCATACGACAATATTCTTTCTTACGTTAAGAATTTATTTCTAGATGTGAAAGTAAGTTTTATTACTGTTGTTTGTTACAAGTCTAATGCATGCTTCAACATGGGCGTGTGTCAGTAGTTGGTAGCGCTAAGTTCATATTCTTTTTGTGATTATTTATTTGGAAATGTTTTAGGGAATTTTACAATCGTTAAAAAAGCATTAATGTAGATAAAGAAGACAAAATCACATAATATACAATTAAAACAGAAATGTAAAAAATGTTTAGCTTACTGGTGAAATGTGCAAGTTCATAAGATTCTGAGTACCTACTTCATTATAAAACAATTAACTTCCGTCGAACAACAATTAAAATTCTTGCATACTGAATTAAACGACTTCCTCCTCGAGCCCTAATATAACATATTTTATAACGTTTAAGGTGGCGAAGAAGGCGAGAACCCTAGACATGAGACATGATTGGACGGATTGGTAATTATAATGCTGCGAGTGATATTGACAGAGTTAACCGTTAACTGGCATGCCTAAGCCTGAACGCTGCATTCCACTCACTATACCACTGCACTACAGTCCTGTCTACTTCCTAGTGGCGACCTGAGCATCCTGGTGTGACGGAGGGCTGTATTTTAGCCACCGTACCACTGCTCTACATTCCTGGCCTGTCTACTTCCTAGTGGCGACCTGAGCATCCTGGAGGGCTGTATTTTTTAGCCACCATACCACTGCTCTACATTCCTGGCCTGTCTACTTCCTATAGTGGCGAATGAGCATCCTGGTGTGCCAGAACGCTGCATTCCACCTACCATACCACTGCACTACAGTCCTGTCTACTTCCTAGTGGCGACCTGAGCATCCTGGAGGGCTGTATTTTAGCCACCATACCACTGCTCTACATTCCTGGCCTGTCTACTTCCTAGTGGCGAATGAGCATCCTGGAGTGCCAGAACGCTGCATTCCACCTACCATACCACTGCACTACAGTCCTGTCTACTTCCTAGTGGCGACCTGAGCATCCTGGAGGGCTGTATTTTAGCCACCATACCACTGTTCTACATTCCTGGCCTGTCTACTTCCTATAGTGGCGAATGAGCATCCTGATGTGCTGGAGCGCTGCATTCCACTCACTATACCACTGCACTACAGTCCTGTCTACTTCCTAGTGGCGACCTGAGCATCCTGGAGGGCTGTATTTTAGCCACCATACCACTGTTCTACATTCCTGGCCTGTCTACTTCCTATAGTGGCGAATGAGCATCCTGATGTGCCAGAACGCTGCATTCCACTCACTATACCACTGCACTACAGTCCTGTCTACTTCCTAGTGGAGACCTGAGCATCCTGGAGGGCTGTATTTTAGCCACCATACCACTGCTCTATATTCCTGGCCTGTCTACTTCCTATAGTGGCGAATGAGCATCCTGGAGTGCCAGAACGCTGCATTCCACTCACTATATACTCAAATAAGTACAATGTTTCGGGGTTTGTTAATCCGAATGCTAAACTATCCCAAGTAGTCTCAAACTTAGGTAGTAAAATTAAACTGATGAGCAAACGTGATTATTTGATTGTATACGCCGGTACAAATGATGTTGATCAGGGAGATTGTAAATCTACACTTATAAGCTCCTTCAATGAATTAGTAAATGAAACAAAACATACTAATCTTATTGTATTAGGTATTCCATATAGGTTTGATAAGAAATCATTGAATGGTAACATTGTGGAAATGAATCGCCTTATGTATAATTGTATTTCATCTCATAACCATGCTTACTTTTTGTCACTCCACCATGTTTTCAAACAAAAGTTTTACACTAAATTTGGCCTCCACCTCAACCTTTTGGGTAAAAGACTAATATCTAAATATATATTGGATCTGATAAATCTAATAACCAGCCCGACACTAACAAGTGTCATAAACCACATCCCTGTCCATATCACCGGTCTTGAGGCCTGTCCTGGTAGAGTAGTTCAATCCCCAACACCACTAGAAGTTTCTAATTCCTGTCACTCCCAATGTAGTGATCCTATTGTTTCTTCTAGCTCAATTCCTTTTTTAGGAACTCCTCAACTGATTCAGGCCATCACGTAACATCTTCTATCAATCTTAAAAAGTCTTTTAGTATTTTCCATCAGAATGTCCGAGGCTTATTGTCCAAATCCAGCCAGATAGAAATTATCTTAGATCTGTATTCACCTGATGTTTTGTGTTTGTCAGAACATTTCCTCCGTCGATCTGAGTTGGAGGCTTTTCGAATGCCAGGCTACACACTAGCAGCTAGCTATTGCCGCACCCAAGTAGAAAAAGGAGGAGTATGCATATTTACACCTGATCACATAAATTATACTGTGGTAGATGTGTCTGACTTTTGTATTGAAAGTGTATGCGAGCTTGCTGCAATTAAAGTAACAAATGGGTCTCTGAATACAATCTTTGTATGCGTGTACAGATCTCCAAGCAATATACAAAGTAACATACAGAAATTCTTGAGCACTATTCAAGCATGTTTTGACTCACTGAAAGCTAAAAACTTATCTTTCGTGGTTGCAGGTGATTTTAATATTGACTTGACTGATAGAGACGGCCCCTCTGCAAAACTACTCATAGACCTGATGTTATCATTTGGTCTTCGAGACACAATTAAGACCTTTACTAGAGAGTTTCAAGGTTCCAGAACTATTATTGACAATATATTTACAGACATCCCTGAGCATTTATTCTATTCTTCTGTTCTTATAACTAGTATCTCAGACCACCATGCCCAACTAAGTGAAATAAAAGGACATTCAGAGAGCAATACTATAATTAAGTTTAAAATGACAAGGAATTTTAATGATCAAAACATATCTACATTCAAGTATTTATTAAGGAAAGAGAAATGGCTAGACTTATTCGAAATCGAATCCGTAGACGGAAAATTCAACCATTTCCTATCCACAATACAATTCTATTTAGATGTTGCACTACCACTAAAGAAATGTAAACAAAAGGAAAGAAAGTCCAAAACCAAAATATGTCTAGATTCAGGTTTGAATGAGTTAAGAGAAAAAATGATTTTCCTTTACACCCTGTCTAAAGATCTCAATATTACACACCCAATTAAACAATCATACATAAACACTAAAAAGGTTTTTAAGAGTCAAATAAGTTCGAAGAAAGCAGAGGCAATATTTAAGAAGATAAATAACAGTAGCAATGTACAAAAAGAGGTTTGGAGCATAATAAATGACCTTAAACCAGATAAATTGAAGAGACCGTTTAGTAAATTATCAGTGTTTGATTCAGAAGGGAAATTGCTGGATACTCCGGATTTAGTTGCAAATACAATGAATGAGTTCTTTACTAACATTGGAAGAAAACTACCTAAAAACATGCAAACGCAAGATGTACATAGAAGTAAAGATAGTAATATGATCCAACCATCACTATTTCTTACTCCAACTAATGCAAATGAAGTAATAGATATCATTCGATCCCTAAAACCTGGAAACTCCTCTGGAAGGGATGAAATATCATCAAAAACTTTAAAGAAATGTGCTGAAGAACTTGCCGCTCCCTTAGCCTATCTAATTAAT